TATATATATATTTATTGTTTAAAATTATTTTTTTTTAAAGAAAAAAATATTTCTTTTTCTAATATCAAGATTAGTTGTGTGAATTTTTTATGGAATCACATTATATCCAAATATTTTTTTTCATCTAAGAATATATAGATATAAATTATTTTATTACTTCAAAAGTATATTTTATGTTATTTAAAATATATTTAAATTAAATATTACTATTTTGTGAACTTTCCTTTTTTATGAAACCATATTTATATATACTTATATTTCGTTTTTAAATAGATTTGTAAACTTTATAAATGTTTCCTTTTTATTTTATATTGTTATTTGGAAAATTTTTAAAAGGAAATAATAATATTTAAACGTATTTTTTAAATTTATTAAGGGTATCATAGTAATCAACCAACGTGAGAGTTAATGTGAACGCGACACATAAGAAAGTGACTTCTCAAATAATATTATAGAGATAGTCTAGGTTGGTCCATTTAAATTTTAATATGTTATAACAAACTTAGTTGTTATTAAATATATAATCTTAATATATTATTTAAATATCTTTAAAATAAGATATCAAAAGATCTTATCAAAAATGTAAATACACACATCGTTGTCCGCATCGCTATCTTTTGTAATTTCTTATCTTGTTTGTCTAATTTTTCTTATTATGTTTCTTCTCAACTTTGCTCCTGAATATCCTTTCTATTGCGGGTTTGCATGTAACATATGAAAGAAAACCATTGGTTATGGATGTAATGATTATGTATTTACGACTCCAGTGGTGGGTGTGGCCCAAATGTTCGTCGTCTTCTCCAAGTGTCCTTTGTCACTTATAGTTAGAGAACATGGGATCTGTGAAACGGTTAAATACTATCGACAATGGAAGACTACTTTTTACTTCAGACCGTTGAAGCGCTTTCCGCTTCAATGAAAGCTTTATCGAGCACTGCAATCACACACAGAAAGAGAAAACCCAACCCAGGATGAAATAGAATTAGTGAGAATTTTCACTGAATCAGTAAAATGTATGATCATGTTTAGAGACCCCCCCCCCCCCCCAGCAATAGAACATTATATTTGAAGGAGTAATACAAACCTGAAGAAAACACAGTCTAGGAGTCAATAAAAACTTGGACTAAAAGTTCAGAGACATTCAAATAAGAACCGTACACAAGGCTTTCAAGAACAATTTCTTGTATATTAGAAATCTTTTAATCAATCTCCATAGATCTGTTTAATCCGGTTTATGTTCAGTCACACACAACTAGCAACATACCAATTCCTAATCTCTAAAATACAGAAACCCAAACTGAAAACCTTTCACTCGATTTTTGTAGCTGACAAGAACAATCCTCTTGCTCTAGCTTTTTCACTCTTAACGCTTGACCTAAATCCCTGCTAGGTTTACTCGTTAATTACAACATAAAAGACAATATTCTACTTCCTAAAATATCGCCAATGGAAGATCTTATTTACTTCACGCCAAAGCAATATCTTCTACTTCCATAAGATTGTGACACGTCATCACGTCGTAACAAACTTCCAGCACTGTGTTACACACTCATCACTGTAACACACACTTAGTTCAAGCCGGACAAGCTCACAAATCTTGAGCTTACATTGACAATGGCTATTCTACTGTTGTTTTAGGTCATTCAAAAACCTCTAAACACACCAAAAAAAAAAAAAATCAAATCCAATCCCAGAAAATAAAGAGAAATCAAAGTATCTCAATACACACTTCTAAATTACTGAATTATATATGTTCCCAAACACGGCATTATCTCTTCAAAAATCTCACCAGTGCCAAAGGAAGTTGCAAGTGGATGACATAATGCAACACTTGAAGTTGAACTAATAGTTGTAAGCCGCGACTTGAGTTAAGGATATTAACATATGTACGGTTTAAACAAATTAACTTAACATGAATTGCAGTTATAATACCAATCTCATCATATATATTAGATAACATGATTAATTGCAGAACCTGAAACATATAACCTTAACAACAATGAGAGGACTGAATATGACCGTCGATAAATAAGCTGCACCTCCATACAGCCAGAAGTATGGAATAGATTCCAAAGAGGTCATAACCACCTGATAAGGGTTTTTAAGCCTTATGAAAATCAAAGTAGTATTTTATATGTCAATCCAAGTTCTAAGTGTTTTGAAACAAAGAGATTACAAGCTATGCTTAATCTAAATGCAATCGGTTTAGAGAATGTAAATGATTCAAGAACAATTCAAAATGCAACAAGTAACAAACTTTCTCTCAATTAGTGAAGGCTATACTCATGGGAATAGGTATTTGGTTTAGGTGATCAAGTTTCAATCTAAAAATGACAAGTTTTCAATCTAAATGTTTCCTTAAGTCTAAACAACAATGCTAAGCAAGTTCTAGGTCTAGAAAAATGCTCATTTGCTTTCATTAATCAAACACAAATGGTCATTGGTTTAATTAACTCAAACAATCATTAGGATTAAGTTCAATAACTATCTACAACTTCCTAGATACAAATGATCATTGGCTAAGTAGTCTTAAAGCTAGATGAGTTGGTTCATACATCTAAGCAAACACTTTGTGGACAGAAAATGTCTAATGATCATGACTAAAGAAGCCAACATTAATCAAGCATTAAAATCACTCATCTAACAAGGAAACACAAGGATCTAACACCTAACACCTTAGATCTACACTGAATCATCCTTACCAACCTATCCCATGAATCTAAAATGAATCTACTCACTAATACACATGATTAACCTAACAACAATGATTGATTGTTGGTTAAACATGATTGGAGATCAAGATTACTCAACAAACTCAAGAGAATAAGATGAAAAGAAGATAAAGTTATGATCTTTCACCAAATAGTTCTTAGGTTTTGAGAGAAAATACAAGATAAGATTCCCAAAATGATGTTTAAGGGTATTTATACTAATCTCAAAACAAGTAGGGCAAACTAAATAAAAAGCAAAATGTTTTGTTAATAGCGACATGGTCATCCCGCTATGCACTGGTCGCTACGGCTTGATCGCATAAGGGGTTCCGTAGCGACATCATGAAGTCGCTACGCTTATCGCTATAGCAGCTCGAGGGGGTTCATAGCGACATCCATAAGACGCTACGCACAAGTCGCTATGACACTTGGTCGTTATGAGCTTCAGTCTTGAAAATCTGTAGCGACATCCCCATGTCGCTACGGAGGTCGCTACCAAAGTTTGATGGGGTTCATAGCGACATCCATAAGTCGCTATGCCTGGGTCGCTATGGCACTTTGATCGATTTTGAGTTTTGATGCTGCTTCTCGTAGCGACAACGCCAAGTCGCTATGGGGACTCGAAGGGCTCATAGTGACTTAAGAAAGTCGCTATGGCACTTAAGCTTGCGACGTGAAATGAGTGTAAATCACCTATCTTGGCTCCAAATCAACTCCCATGTCTTCAGAAACACCAAAGAGAATCTCCAACACCTGAATCATGCAAAAGTGATGCAATGCAACCTAAATGTACTATAAATGTATCTAAAATCTAAAGATGAAAGCTAAAATAAAACTTAAAAACATGTACATACACAAGATATCACCACCCAATGTTCTTCTCTTCCCTCGCCACATGTTCAACTTGAGAGAGAAAGATATTAAACCAATTTCACAATTTCATAAAAACACATGTATAAGAGGCTCATATGAAGATACCACAGGCTTTAGAGAAATTCAAAACTTTAATCAAACCCTCTTAGCCAAGATCTCGTGGAGAATTCTAACTAAGCCTGAATGTCTACTGGCTAGAATACTTACCGGAAAGTACTGCAAAAAAAAAAGAGTTTCATGGAAGTCTTACCGGCTTCATCCTGCTCCATGGTTGGAGAGGTATTCTCCATGGCAGAGACCTTATAAATCCTAACATGGGTAAATTCATAGGAAATGGCCTATCAACAAAAATCTGGCATGACTCATGGATATCCTAAACCAAAAAAAAATGTTACCTTTTGGTCCAATTTTGGAGGATACAAGTGATATGAGAGTATCTGATCTCCTAAAAAACAGACCAGAAATGGAACCTGAAGCGAGTTGAGGAAGTACTGTTAGAGCTATCATCAATGATCATATCCCTCCAACCAAGCCGCTCAGGAGCTGCAGACTGTTTTGTCTGGTATCCAACCCGCAACAGAGACTATACATCGAAGTCAGACTATCATTCCCTATGTGGAACTAAACAACCAAATGGGGATACGGAGATGGAATAAGACAAGGAGAGTTCGATCAAAATCAAAACATTCTTATGGTATGCGATCCAGAAAGCCATCCCACTAGGCTCAAACCTGGAAAGTCGAGGTGTTAATCACGAGTCTAAGTGTATAAGATGTGGAAAACTAGATACAGAAGCTTACATTTTCCTTCAGTGTGAGTTTGCACGAAAACCAGGGCTTGTAGCCTGGTGGTCATGAACTTGAAGGTAAAAAGCCCAATTAGGTGAAGCCACCAGTGTTCGAGTCCCGACCACTGGAGAATTAACAATTTGGCATCGCCAGGGACAGAGGACTGACATGTGGCAACACGTGATTATTCTGGACCACTTCTGTGGGACTAGGATACCTCTGTATAATTCAAAAAAAAATATCAGCATCTTGCCAGTAATTGACGTCGACGCTCAAGCAAATCTATCAACAGCCTTGATACGAAGGTACGATTTCTCCCTCCGTTAGAAGTAACCACCATCATATTACCGTGGATTCTCTATTCTGTGGAAGAAACATCAATCAGAGGAATCAAGTTAGCCTGGGAATGGCTTCAAGCTCAATCAGTACCTCAGACAATCCCAAGATTGAACCCGATGGACAGAATCAACATACCTTGTCTACAGAGACTCCACGACTCCCTGATCGCTACAACGTTTTGCCAATACGATGCAGCTTAGGATAAGGATTCACACACCGCAGATCTAGCTTAGATCATCTTGGAGCCTCCCACTCCTTAGAATCGCTAGGAGCACAAATTCCTGACAACATGGGATCTCCCCTGAGCGATCTCAAAGAAGCGTTGAGAGCAACCATCCAATCAGCGATCTCAAAGAATGTAACCCATCTCCAGATGTTTTTCCGATATCAAACCCTGATCATGACCATCAATGAGAAGCTTCATCTCGAACTATCTTTTTTCTATTTTTCGTGGGATGAGAATGGGCAGGCTGGTGCCTTGGCCGAATTCATTCTCAAAAAGCCAAACCATGTAATGGACCAGCCCACATGCTAATCTATTCTTCTATTTTTTATTGAAGTTTCCGTTGAAAAAAAAAGGAAGTAAACCTTTTGTAACAGTCTGTTAGCTATTAAATATAAAGTTTCGTCTTGTTAATGAAAACACAACAGTACTGTCTTGATGTGTTCAGTGTTTTTTTTTTTGGTTTTTATTTATTTCCAACTGTGACCGTGGTCTTGTTATTGGTGACTGATGCTTCTGAATGGGTAGGAATTTATCACTTGGAGTCGTACTTTGAATTATGCTGCATTCTTTGCAAGCCACTAATATGGATAAAAGTAGAGCTTGCAGTTTTAGGGTTTTAGCTCATAGATTTTCATTCACCGTTTTAGGGTTCTAACTCATAGATTTTCATTCTTCTCAAGCCACTAATATTGATAAACGTAGAGCCAGATACACAATTTTAGAGAAATTTTGTATGGTAAGTTTATTTTAAGACAATAATATATTTTTTAACCAAATCTATAATTTCAACCACTGAAAACCACTTGACAAATATGTTTGTGGTAGTTACTGAAAAATTACATAAATGTTGACTCAATATATCACGCTAAAATAATTACCTTAATTTTCTAAAAAATCCAAAAACCTACCTATAACTCTATATATACTATCAAGTTTTTTTACCACAAAAAAAAAACAAGTATTCAGAAATAATCAGACTGTATAATATGAAAACATAATCTTTTAATTAAAAATTCTTGCGCAGGTCTTATCTTAGTACACAATTAAAATATATTAAACACACAATATTTTCAGGTTAAATCACACTGCACTGGTGCTTCCCATCATAAGCATCTCCCATTCTGATATCAAATCAGTAGAAATTGTATTTTCACCGAAATCTTGGATATCGCTGCCGGGTTCCCACCGCTCAATCAGCGAGGAAAGGAAGCTGACGACCTGAGACATATCTGGTCTCTGCTCAGGTGTACTCGTGCAGCATTGTCTTGCTAGTTTTGCAACTTCGTATATGGTCCGTTGAGTCTCCTGATTGGCGATAATTTCTCCGTCAATAGCTTTCAGGAAAGTGTCTTCTTCACGAAGCATCTTCCTGAACCATGTTGTTATGTGGATATCGTCTTGAGATAGGCTATGGTCTAGAGCTTTCTTGCCGGTTATGAGCTCCATGAGGATGACTCCGAAGCTGTAAACATCGATCTTTCTTGTAAGCCATCCTTCGTTCCCTGCAGTTACAGATATTTTAGTTGTTAGTCTCCAAAGTGAATTACACAATCAAATATAGATAATTGACAGAGGAATAAGAAAACTATACGATATTCCGGTGCGATGTAACCGGGTGTCCCAACGCATTTGGTCCTGACTGATTCCCTGCCTTCTGTTGTAGAAACCACTAATCCAAAGTCCGATACTTTGGCTCGCAAATCATCCCCGAGAAGAATGTTTGACGGTTTCAGGTCTCTATGGATGTAGTTTTGGCTCTGAAGATCCAGCGTATGGAGATACTCAACTCCTCGAGCCACATCCAAGGCAACATTAAGTCGTGTGGTCCATTCTAATGGACTCAAACCGTGGTCACTCCAATGAAAGAGATGTTTACTCAACGTACCTTGGGGCATGTACTGATAGACTAATAGTCTCTCGTTTCCTTCAATGGAATACCCATAAAGAGTGACCAAGTTTCGGTGATGAACCCTGGTTAGAAAAGTGACCTCAGACTTGAATTCGCTGATGCCTTTACTGGCAGTACCCGAGGTGTTCATCTTTTTAACTGCAATATCTCTTCCATCTTGCAGTGTACCTCTATATACCGATCCAAACCCGCCTTCTCCGAGTAAATGATCAACTCTAAAGTTGTTTGTTGCATCCCTGAGAGTCTGTATCGGGATCACTTTGTTCTCGACAAACTCGTTGTGCTCGACGATCTCGATCTCGTTGTGCTCGACGATCTCGATCTCGTTGTGCTCGACGATCTCGATCTCGTTGTGCTCGACGATCTCGATCTCATTGTGGTCAGAAGACTGAACAAGATCCTTCTTCCTTATATAAATCAGATAAACAATGTATCCTGCAACAACCAGCAACACGACAGCCAAACTCCCAATAACTCCTCCCACAATGATTTTTGTTTTTCTTCTCCGTAAATGATCATGAATGATGTTTGTCTCAAGCTCTGGATTCCCCTGAATCTCTAAAATGCCTGTTCTTCTGAAATGTGGCACCTTCCCGTGAAGTTGATTATGGGAAAGGTCGAGGATTCTGAGTTTCTTCAATTTGGTGAGCTCAACAGGAATCATACCAGTTAGATAGTTATGCGAGAGGTCAATCACCAAAACAGACGTGAGATCTCCTAACCTTGGAGATATTGTACCAGTGAGCTGTCTGGATGGCATGATGATAGCTAGGATTCGACCCTTCTCACAACTTATCCCAAACCATTGATGACATGGGTTGTTCCCTTTCCAACTCTTTGCAAACTCCAACGGATAATTAAATCCTCCAGCAATAGATAGGAGAGCATCAACTATGGGATCACATCCAGAACCCGGAGAATCTACGCAGAATCTATTTGTCCCTCGTCTCATATCAACATCAACCATAGATCTAAACTTTGGTGTCGGTCCCTGAAGCAAATTACTTGACAGAGAAACCCTACGCAGAGACTGCAGCTCTGTAAAACCTTTAGGAATGATACCGGCAATCTGATTGCCCTTTATCTCGAATACTCGCAAAGCTGAGAGATTCTTTAGCTCTGGAGGTAGACTGCCTGAAATTCCTCTGTCACAGAGTCGTATGCTTGTGACGCGACCGTTCTTGTCACAATCCAACTCTGTCCAAGTACAGTAGTCCGAGCTACCCCAGTCAATATCATCAGGAAGTTTCAGAGACGCGCTCAAGGCTTCCATAGCCTCGTAATCTGGTCCCACATCCTCGAGGCTGGCATTCACCAACGCTAAGAAAAAAGAGATCCACAAGAATGGTCTCTTAAAGCTTGAACGTAGAGTCCTAAATAAATCAGAAACAAGGACACCATTAGTCATCCATAGGCATCATTATTCCAACAACATCAACGAGAGACTAGTTACAGTATGTACTACATATACAAATTCATATGCCAATCTAACAGTGTAAGTAGGCATGGACACAAGGTAGATATTTGCTATTTTGGTAATACTTAATATTTGACTTGCCTTGGTACGAGTAATAAAAATTTAGACTTGTATTTGACTTGTTATTTGATTACTTACTAAAGAATGAGTTACTTGCAAATTACTTGTTTTGATTTATTGCAAGTACTTATAAATTAAGTAAAAGTACTTGTGAATTACGTGCATGTAATTACGAGTATTTAAGAATTACTTACTAAATAATATTTTATTAAAATTGAAAATAAAAAATTAATTTATTTAACTTATTCTACTTAGAAATATAAAATAGTTAATATAAACAAAATATTTTGTACACATTATGAAGGAGAAGAACAAAGAAAAACATAAATCTCTCGAGAGGAAAACAAGTAACTGAGTAATATCAAGACGAGTTGTTAATATCTGTTTTCTTCATATTTGATAGATTGGGTTCTATTCAATAGTGCAGATTGGGTTCTATTCAATAGGTTGATAGATTGGTGACAGAAGTGTTGGGAAGGTAACTTATAATGTCTTGATGAACTTTCTTCGTTCTTTTTTTCCCATCAATTTTCCCCTTGTTCAGGCTTTTATTTCATAACATGTATAGTTGGATTAATTTATACATTGGTATATGTCAAGTTCTATATTTTTTGCAATCTATTCAATTGGTTGATAGATTGTTCAGGCTTTTATTTCCCATCAATTTTCCCCTTGTTCAGGCTTTTATTTCATAACATGTATAGCTGGATTAATTTATACATTGGTATATGTCAAGTTCTATATTTTTTGCAATATATTCAAGTTGATAGATTGTTCAGGCTTTTATTTCCCATCAATTTTCCCCTTGTTGGGTATTTTCTCAATAAAATAAAAGTTCTATATTTTTTGCGTTTCAAAAGTTAAGAAAAAGTGTTGCTTTGTGTTACTCTAGCAGTTCTGAACTGTTTGTTTCATACAACTGTTATAACCAACCAAACAATGGTGGTTCCTAGAAACAGAGTTTGAGCCGTTGTTGGGGTTCCTAGAAACAGAGGTTGAGCTGTCGTAAAGAACAAGTTCATGTCCTCTTGTTTCTCATGTCTGAGCAAAACAGTACCTTAGAGAATATATCCAGCAGTTCAATTCTATGCACATTCAGACCCAATATCATTGGAAGTAGAAGAACCATCCAGAAACTCATTTTTAGCATTGGTATATATTAGTGTTGATTTATTCTTTTATTGATGATATCAACTTTGATGGTTAGACTTTGGTTATTCTTCATTTCTTAGCTTTCCATTTGAGAGGCTATCTAGGGTACTTTTTTTGTAACAAAAAATGGTATTGTTTTGTTTAGATTTTCTCCTAATTTGGACCTGTTCTGATTTACTTGAATTAACTTAATGTCTCTTTCCTGTCAGCAAGCATCAGATTGCCTAACGCCACACATGCAAAACACAGACAATTTGCTACGTTTGCATACTTGTTGGGCTGACTTGGAACTCAATATTGGAAAAGATCTAGCTCACGACGTGTTTGGGATAGCTTTCTGAAGAAGAGGTATTGCAAAGCTATATCCTTCATATTTGATTTATCACAGATTTGAACTCAAAATATTCCAGGCAATTTACAGCAATTTGTCACTTCTCAAAAATAAGGCAGCTCGTTCATTATGATTCATCTTATTCCTTTCCAGCGGTAGGATGCAGTTATGTATACATTGATATGGAAGTGCATTTGGGGTAATGTAAAGGAGTTCATCACAAAAGTCCAGCTACGATTATAACATGGGGCACAATATTATAAATGCAAAATATATTTTGATAAATTAAATTATTTTTCTTGGAAAAAACTTACAGTAAAAATTAGAAAATTAAATTAATTCTTAAAAATTTATATCTTATCTTTTAGATGAATAAAATAAAATAAAATAAAATAAATAAATAAGTTTTATAAGGTAATATTCAGTTAATGAATTATTAATAAATAGTATATTGAACATAATATTTCAGTATAATTTTTTTTAGTCTAATTGCTAAGAAAATTTCTAATGAAAATTACTGTTTGAGTAACTTTTAAATAAATTTTATATTTTTGAAGAAATAAATAAGAAAAAAATTATAGAAAGAAATAATAGTTTAGGTAACATAAAAACAAAGGTAAAAGAGAAAAATGTTTTAATAATTTTGAAAGAATAAATACAAAGATAAAAAAAGGAAAAAACAGTTTAGGTGTACATAAAACAAACTATATGAACACACCAACATCTAGCTCAAAATTGTTGGGTGTTAAGCAACTGCAGTATGGATAGGGTAAACTATATGAGATCACACACCACCATCTACAATTGGACAAGGAACATTAGATGGTGATGTCAAAAGTTTGATGAAATGAGATTTCAATAGACAAGCAGAAGAACTAATAAGGTGGCGCACAAGCTAGCAACTTCAAATGGTTTACCTCATCTCAGATTTAGGATTATGAAAACAACTATCACTTTGAGATTTCGAAGAATGAATTGCAAAGGTTCTCTAATCCACAGAAGAGAAATAGTTTTTTTTCTAATAGAATAATAACCTTACACAGAATAGAGGTACTTATAGTGAGGTTTCTCTTAATGGTCATCGTGGACGGTGTTTAAAAAAAGATGTTAACCTAGTGGATTAAGAGCATATTTATTTTTGCTAAGTATTTAAAATCACACGTAATGTAAAAGAGTTCATCACAAAGGTCCAGCTACGATTATAACATGGGGCACATAAATGCTAAATATATTTTAATAAATTAATTTCTTTTTCTTGGAAAACACTTAAAGTAAAAATTAGAAAATTACATTAATTCTTAAAAATTTATCTTATATTTTAGATGAAAAATAAAATAAACTAATAAGTTTTATAAGGTAATATTCAGTTAAAGAAATATTAATAAATAGTATATTGAACATAATATTTCAGTATAATTGCTAAAAACAATTTATTTTTTATTTCAGTCTAATTGCTAAGAAATTTTCTAATGAAAATAACTATTGAGTAAATTTTAAATAAATTTTATATTTATGAGAAATAAATAAGAAAAAAGTTCTAGAAATAAATAATAGTTTAGGTAACATAAAAACAAAGGTAAAAGAGAAAAAAAATTTAAACATTTTGAAAGAATAAATTAAAAATTAAAAAAAGGAAAAACAGTTTAGGTGTACATAAAACAAATTGAAGATTTTTTTTTGTGACAAGATGATAAAAATAGTGTTTTTAGTCTAAATGTTTAAAACAAACTTCATAAAAATAATTGTTTGAGTAAATTTTAAATAAATTATATATATTTGAAGAAACTAATACTAAATAAAGAAAAAATAATAATTATAAAAAGAAAGAGTAGTTTAGGTAACACAAAAACAAAGGTGAAAAGGAAAATATTTGTGAGAATTATTAAAAGTGTTTTTAAAAAAAGAGAAGCATTGGAGTACAGAAATGGATTCGAACACAATAGGGTGGGGAACTAAAGAAATGAGTTAGACAAAACAAAATAGCCAAGCCGCTCAGCATATATCCACCTATAAAATAATTTATACTGGATTTTAATTTGCATTGTGTGCGGGATTATTTTTATTTATTTTACTATTTTATATTTTTAATATTTTATAATTTTATGATAGTTTTTATAAAATTTGATGTACAATTTTATTGTTTTTCAAAAATTATATTATGTACATGAATTTTGAATCATAGATGATAATGTAAGAGTTATCATTGTTTTGTTGTTTAAAATTATATTTATAAAACCATACAGTTATCACTGTTTTGTTGTTTAAAATAATATTTAGTAATAAAACACCTCAACTATTTTTGAATAGTTAGATATATCCTCAATTAATTTGTTTATGTTTTAATTCCTCGAGTTACCAATCTTTATCGTAAAATATACACCTCGTTAAGTATCGTTGTTCAAATATATAAAAAAAAAAAGTGTCTGACTGAAGATCGATATAAATGGGGTGTTATCTAATTTAGGAATGTTCTATCCATTTTATTACATAAACCATACAGTATATTATAGTATTATATGTTAAAAAGAGCAGAGATGCGTTCTTTCAAAGGCACCTTTTTGAGATTCTTAATTATTTGTTATTAAGTGTCATTTTATTAGGAATATTTTACTTTGAACGAAATACAGTTGTCTAAACACAAAATTCATCCATTTTTATCAGTCCCACCCTCGTAATTATTGAATATGGTTTTAGGTTAGAAAATAATGTAACTTAAGATACTAGACTTAACAAGTCGTAAATATGCACCTCGTAAAATATCGTTCTTTGATTTTTGGTAGGAACTATCATTGTTCAAATAAAAACAAATTAGATGCAAAGCGCTGAATATTTTATGTAGAAAGATTTCATTAATAATTTAACAAATATTTTGTCAATTAGAAAGAATTTGGATATTTAAAATATTTTTGCATATAAATTAGTATTTTAAAATTTGACTCAACTCCGTAGTTTAACTGGTTAATTTGGTGATTCGATAGTTCAATTTAGATTTTTAAAAAACATCTATATTTTTTAAAAAATCACTAAATTCAAGATTAACTAACTGAACCAATGAATAACCGAAATTAGGACTGGACGAAAAATCTAATTCCGAAGAATCGAACCGAACCTGATCCAAAAAAGTAGTACGGAACCCAAACCGAAATTTATTAAACATCTGAATAGATTCAAAATTTGGTATCTAAAGAATCGAAACCGACCCCGACCCAAACTGAATGTATCCGAAATAGATTTATATACCTAAATATATTACTTATTTTTAGATTTAATGTATATTAGAAACATCTAAAATATATAAAATACTTTTAAATTAACCAAAATACTTAAAATATAGACAAATAGTCAAAACTAAATGTCTAAAATAGCTAAAATATACTCAAACACACAA